ACTTCGATCAGATGCTTTACTTCCAAGAAGCTGCGTTTTAAAACCGTTGGATTATTTTTTATTGGGCTATGTTAAGTCATTGGTCTATGTGAACAACCCACAATTTATTGAAGACTTGAAGAGGAACATAGACCACACCATTCGTGATATTAATACAGATATTTTACATAAAGTGACCGAAAATTTGGTTAATCAGATTCGCTCCTACAAACGTAGTCGCGGTGGACATTTGAATGATGTGTTATCCGGAACATAAGTGTTATCTATTATATTTTGCAATATAAATTATATTTTATTTACAGCAATTTTTACCGTTTTCGTTAAAAAAAAAAACATCGGCACATTCTTATTGGGAGAGATTATACATTCTGTTACCTAATCTCTCCATCGTGTTCATCGATACTAAGGTCCGGGCTTGAGTCTGGTAGAAGTGTCTTGGTCGAGGTTCATCAGAGCTGGACCAGAAGTAGTTCACAAGTGAGATAATTTGATTCAGCAAAGATTTTATCAAGTATTTTTTGTGCGTTCGTTTCAAATTGAAAAAAAATGGTGTCAATAGCAATCCACTTGTTCTAGAAGCCTTGGAAATTGTGGCTCAGACATTAAATAGTGGTTGGATGAAAACTTCAATTTCAATCTTCCTCCTCCTTAGTCTTAATCCCTTTTGGGATGTGGTGACACCATCAGGCATTCACAGTTTTTTTTACGATTTCCATCCATCCGTCTTTGTCCTGGGCTAGTTGTTTGGCTTCATGTAACCCTTGGTTAATCAATATTTTTGTTTGGTCTACCCAATGGCTTAGAGATCTTTACCTAGGTCTCTTTCCTTCAACTCTACCCTCGACTCAGATTTTCATATTGTTCAGTGTATTGCATTTCAATTTAATCATAAGTTACTAAATAACTATTATTTTATTGAGAAAATATCAAAAACAACGATGGCAAATTCTTAAACTAATCAAGCAAAGGTAAAATGTTCCCAGTTACAAATCTCATATAGATCATTTTTAAGTAACAGGAACATAATGTTTGACATAGCGATCTGTAAATGTAAGGATGCTGAAACTGTTGCATGTAATTGTCCAAGAAAGTATCGGGGTTATCATGAATGTGTTGCTTGTGTGAGTCCATTTCAAATAGGTAAAGAAATAATAAATAAGACTTACTCACAATCAGTTTAATTTAACTCTCAGACGACCGGTTTCGCTTTCTACAATATGCAAAGCATCTTCAGGTCTCGATACAAAGTTAAACAAATGCTGAAATGATAAAAACCCATATTAGGGTGTTGTCTAATAAAGGTAAACAAAGTAGATGTTGGAAATTACAATAATTATGCCAATATTACATGTCTGTGGTTTTATTTCAAAAAGAGTAAGTTGAATAAAAAGGTATAAAAGTTTTAAAAGTTTTACAGACAAGGTAAGGCCCACAAATTATTATAAAATAGTCTATTAGATTGTAATAAATTAATAAATGAGCAAATAAATAAACATTACTTACATGCCGGTACTCTATTAATTGATAGATGGTAGAACATGGTTGAAACTACTATGTATTGTTGAATGGAGAACTCAATTCTGCTATTGTAGTTGTATGACAGTTAACAAACTCAAGTTCTTGAGAAGATAGATTTGATCCAATGAAGCAGAGATATGTGTGTGTTTGTTTGTTAAATGAAAGTGATGTAATACTTATACCATTGTATTATTAAAAGTTATTTATACTTATTCCAGAGATATATTTATGAAATGTGTGTTATTTATTGAGTAATTGTTTTATGAAGGTGACAGTTTTATGACAATGAATAAGTTTAGATGTACAAATTGTGTTGGTGTGCAATTATTTTTCAACTTGTAGTTATCAAATCTCTTTGCTAAAGTTCTATTGGCAAAATAGTAGATTATTGCAAAGTCAAGTAAATAAAATATTAGAATTAAAACAATTAAGAACAATTTAAAACACACTAAAACAGAAAACACTTAGAAGGGACGAAACAAACATTAAATTTAAAAGGGGGAAGGACTTTTATGCACTACATTTCAGTCTTGGGCACAATAAGTTTTTTATGTGTTAATTATTAGATTTTAGTGGTAAATCTGACAGATGTAGGTTAGCATATGACAGCTCTTCTTCTGTTTCTCAATACTGCAAGTTAAGTTATCTAGTTTTATGAAATATGCTGATATTAATAAATGTCTATAAATTGTTTCAATTAAGATATCAAAAGTAAAATGATGTGTTTAATGTTGGCATACTTTAACAATATTTTTTTAATCAAATTTAAATGTAACAATACGAGTAATTGAAAAACATCCCATATTATAACTAACTCAGTCTAATGTCCAAATTACTGATTAAATTAAATTTAAGTGATTCTTTGGCCACTGAACATGTACATTTTATAATCAGGTGTATAACAAGTTTACACAAGTTTTTTATTTTTATTTGAAATTAGTGTGGGTGTGAGTTATCTGTCTTTTTTGGGTGTTTTTAAATATTTTAGATATTTAATTCAAATTCCGATAGATTAATATATTAATATCTGATATATTAATATGTAACCAAAGCAACAAATGGATAATTATTGATGGTAATTAATTTATGGGCTCAAGAAATTGACTGAATTATAAAGCCTTCAATAATTAGTTGGTAGTTCTAATATCTGACAGTTGGAACCGGAAGTTGTTATAGGAACAGGTAGAAACTTTTAAAACTTTTATACCTTTTTATTCAACTTACTCTTTTTGAAATAAAACCACAGACATGTAATATTGGCATAATTATTGTAATTTCTAACATCTACTTTGTTTACCTTTATTAGACAACACCCTAATATGGGTTTTTATCATTTCAGTATTTGTTTAACTTTGTATCGAGACCTGAAGATGCTTTGCATATTGTAGAAAGCGAAACCGGTCGTCTGATAGTTAAATTAAACTGATTGTGAGTAAGTCTTATTTATTATTTCTTTACCTATCTGTGTTATATTTTGGTACTGGTACCTGATTCTAAGTATCTGGGTCATATTTGTAGTACGTCTGGCACTATTTATTTATCGTATGGTACTTGACACATTTACATTTAAATTTACACGTAATTTGTATAAAACATAATACATATATGTTTACAAACGAACATCTAACATATTTATATATTCTATCGACTCTGGAGTCGCCATTAGGAAATCCACTGACCTGCCTTGATAGGATCTTGTGGGACACTGTTCTGTGATGTGACAGATGGTTTGTGGTTGTCCGCAGTCACAGAGTGGGGATGGTCGTTTACCCCATTTGTGCATCATATAACCGCATCTGCCATGTTTGGTTCTAATTCGATTCAACATAGTCCATGTGTTGCGTGGTAAGTCAAAACCTGGTATAGAGCTAGTTCACGTCCGTAGTAGAATACTACACGTGCACCCTGGCTAACGCTAAATGAACTAGCAAATACTGGCGGTCAGATAATCTTAGGATCTCCTGACCAGAGACACATTGCAAACAATGCCAATAAACGTCTGGCACTGCTATAAATATATTAACTTTTGGAAGTAATTTGGACCTCAATAGCATAGAGGTCGTCGACTGTGACGTTACTGTCACAAACATAGGGTCTAAAGGAGGCATTATAGTGTTACTGGAGAATAAAATTACAAAAGCTCCTGCAGTGGTTTGTCTGTCAGCTGCACGCCAAAGAGTTGACTCTAAGACATCTATTTAAAAAACTGTATGGCAAAAAATAGTAGACCATGTGTATTTTCCGGGCTTCTTGCCAAATCTGTGCAAGTTTGCGAAATTCTTTATGTAGCTTCATTTTTAAAAAAATAATCATCGGCTGACGAATTCCGCAGCGACGATCGATTTCTAAAACTTTTTTGGTTTGGATATCAGCAGATAGATATCTTTACTATAATAACATTGTGTTTTTTAAGAATAAATACTAAATCTTATGTAATGTAATTCCCTAAATTCGACAGCGGGATCAAAATGTGCGTAACTATTTCTTACGCAGTGTTATGAAAACATTTTTTTATTTTTATTTCAAAATGTTTAATATGTTATATAGTTAATTTATGACCCTATTTTTCAATAAAGTTTAGGTAATTGGACAACTGAAATTACTATTGCAATATCGGATGATGTTGATGTTGGTAATGTATATCTTACGATTCTACGTCAGTGTGTAAATACCATAGAATATTATTTGTTTAGAATGCTTGGCTTGATTTGCTGTATATTGTATGCATCTGCTTTGAATATTTTTATTATTATAAACTTCTAGACAAAATTCACACACAAATAAACCTAACCGGTTCATGTCGAAAGCATACACTGAATAAATTAGATAACCAGAGATACATGCCGGTAAATAAAGTATCAGGGCCTTAGAGAAGAAAAGAGAGAGGACAGGTAACCCTCATTTAATAAACCTTCGAAAAGTGAAGCCAGTTTCGATGTGACCGCCATGTTTGGTGCCTTGCCCATTACTACCTCTCGCAGGGTTACCAGTTCAACTCAGTTCAAAATCATATTCAAAAGTTCAAATCATATTCAAAAATCGATCATTATGTCACGGTTCAATTATAGAATTTTAAAAAAAAATCTATTTATTGATATAATATATCCACTAATCTCAATCTACTGAAGAAATAAAATATGACCTGGCAACTTTTCTGGTGTCTGTTTGGTTTCCCTCTCCTTTCTCTTTGCTTGTCTAAGTTCAGGGCCGACACATGCACAGGACAATGAAAGGCCACTTTCCCTAATAGGGGTTTCATTAGCATTTTTTAATTTTCATTTTCGTTGGTTCATTTTGTCCAGGAGTTTATATTATGCCATTTAAGAAACTCCATTTAATTTAGAAAACGTTTTAATTGATATACAAGTTCCAGAATCTTCATTTTATGTTTGCCGTGATTCTAATACCTTGTACATTATCATTCTTACACAAATAACTTATTTTTACCAATTGCTATAATACTCATGCAATTTATTTTAAAGGGGAATGACGGTGACGTCTGGAAGTGTCACCATAAGAAAAGATGATAATAACCTGATCGGTATCAGCATTGGTGGCGGGTCACCTTTATGTCCTTGTTTATATATTGTCCAAATTTTTGACAATACAGCCGCAGCAAAAGATGGAACCTTGCAATCAGGAGATGAGTTGGTTTCGGTGAACGGTCAATCTGTAAAAGGAAAAACGAAAGTTGAAGTAGCGAAAATGATCCAAGCTGCAAAGGTAGGTTTTGTACTTGTTTTGTAGCGATTTACACAAATATTTAGCTGCTGCTCTTCTTACTGATTACCTACTGCTTTACCTTAAAAATATGGACAACAAAAATTTCATCGATTGTTAAATAATGAAAAAAAAATTGTAAATTAACAAATTCCACAAGGAAAAATTCCTGTAGCTGGCTGTATACCACGTATAACAAAAAGAGGTTAATCTTTGTAAATGGGTATATTTATTTAAAAAACCCTTAAAAGGGCCACATCAATAAAACAAACGTTTTCGGACCACACAGTCCATCATCAGGTTTTTAAAATCGAAAAATGCTAGGTCACAATGCCTGAGCCACCAAAATACTAGGGTAAAAACCCTTTAAATTACATTTAGTTATGAAATATTGTACATTGTGTTGTAAAATAACTGTGATGTTCAGTATTAAATTAAATTTGACTAGAGGTAACACATGGCTCAATCGGGTTCCAGAGCCGGTGAGAGAGAACCTCTACACTCGGAGAACAGCGTGGAACTGTTCCACGCTGTAGTTCCCACGCTGTTCTCCGAGTGTAGAGGTTCTCTCTCACCGGCTCTGGAACCCGATTGAGCCATGTGTTACCTCTAGTCAAATTTAATTTAATACTGAACATCACAGTTATTTTACAACACAATGTACAATATTTCATAACTAAATGTAATTTAAAGGGTTTTTACCCTAGTATTTTGGTGGCTCAGGCATTGTGACCTAGCATTTTTCGATTTTAAACACCTGATGATGGACTGTGTGGTCCGAAAACGTTTGTTTGATTGATGTGGCCCTTTTAAGGGTTTTTTAAATAAATATACCCATTTACAAAGATTAACCTCTTTTTGTAAATTAACAGTGTAAAAGAATTGCTATGAGCTGCAAAAACTAAAATTATTGATGAAGGTTTCCTTTATTATTAAAATCAGTATATAGGTGGTATGGAAGAAACTGATAAATTCCACGTGAAAGTATGGTTACACCAGGTCAGTGTACTTAGTCCCTATTTATTCTCATTAATGGTTGATCGAATACTAGAAAAATTACCCTCTTGAGGGAAAAGGTTTAAAACTTAGTAGGACAAGAGCAGAGTAATGTGTTCTCTAACTGCGGACTAGAGCGAAAATATTTGTTACGGCAAACAACCGGCAAGTTATAGAGATTTTCCGCTTAAGAGGAGTTAAAGATCTTTTTTATGGTTTTCTAGTTTGTAGATTTAAAAGCAACAAATTGTTTTTACTGACCGATTATTAAGGAACATTTTAGTAAAAATAGAACAATAAAAAATACAGATGTGTGGTTTATGGCTTATAGTGTCGTAAATTCAACAGTAATAAAATATTTTATTAGCAAATAAAACCTTTTAGACATGCAGGTGTCGAATCAAACTCTATATTTTGTATCTACACATAGGCGCCAGAGATATTATGTAAATAATTTTTTTTATAATAGATATGAAAGGGTCTGAGGTAGAAAATTTGAGAGAGATCAATGAGATAATAAAAATTTTCGTTGAAGACTATTAATAACACTCGAATTTTTTGTCGATAAGTAAACATTGCAAAGAAATATAATGCAGATGCGTCCTTTGTATTATTAATATAAAATAAACTTTGAGGGTATGCAAGGCAACTATCGAACACGGTGATTAATTTAATCTTGCCCAAGTACTTTCAATCAATAGATCATCTTCAGGGGCATCTGAAATAAGCCAAGAAACGTTTTTTATAAACAGGAAAATTAATTCACTTGGATAAAAAACTCCAAGTTTATGGTTGAAAAAAAAAATTTTTATATGTGATAAACGTTTATAGACTTACTTCGTCAATTGTGGACTATCCGACATAGTAGAATGTCATAAATTTAAAACTGGACATAACAATACAAAATACACTACACTAAGACAAACAAACACTTTAAAATTTATATGGCGAAGCTACATATTGTGAAGAAGCCGGAGACAGAATGGGCTCCCGGTCTGACGGAAATGTAGAGATGACATGTGACAAATGACAGCTTATGAAGGGCAGTTATGTGATCTGCACCTTTCAAAATTCTATGACACTAAGTATTGACCAAAGGTCCAACTGACACCACTATAGGAAATCGACTGATGAAATATAAAATTATATAGTATATTTTTTATGTGGATTGAATAATTCCAATCTCACACTCAAACCTGTCTATAATAATTAGGATGTTGGTTTGAGAGCAATTGAAGTTGACATAAAGTATGAATGTGAGAAAAGACTAACAATATATTAGACAGTGGATGGTTGACTACAATAAAATGGTCCACCAAGCGCTATCAGTACTGTAAAAAAGAAAAATCTGAATATGCAGTTAAATTACTAAAAGTTAAAATCAAAATTGAAGACAAAATATATAAATGTGTTATAGTCCACGTAGTTCAGTTGAATCCACAGTCAATGGAAGAACTTTAAAATTAATATTGAAATATTCAGTGCATGAAGTCTAAACAGTCGAGCTGGGTCCTCTACGAGGTGAAGCTGTAATAAAGTTTTTAAATATAGGATTAAATTTAGTACAATTTAAATTAATTTGAGTATTAAGACAGTGAGAGTTTTCATTTGTTTCCCTTGTAATCTCCAAATCTTCCAATAAATCCAACTCAAGATAGTTTTTCTTTCTGCTAATGTCATGTAAGATAGATGAACCAGAATTGATGTTAAAATTGTGGTTGCTGGCTACTAAGTGTTGACCAAAACTTGAAGAATTTGGTCTTTTCAAATGTTCAGAGACTCTAGTGGATAACTTTCTGATGGTTCTACCTACATAAGATGCATCACAATCATCACATTTTAATTTGTAAATACCACTTTTATCAAGTGTATTCATCCTATCTTTGGTATTGATTAAGAAGGAACCTAAAGTGTTATGTGATTTAAAGGAAATTTTGATGTTATCAATTGTAGAAGAAAAAAGTTTAGATATTTTATTGGAAATGCTACTAATATAAGTGAAGGAGAAATATCTGATGTTATCTGAACCATTCGGTTGGGAAAACTGTGAAGAATATGCAAGCTTTTCTGCAATTTTTAGTTTAGCTCTATTTAGAAGTTTGTATATAATGTTGGGATCATAGCCATTATTGAAAGCAATCTGCTTAAGAGTATTAAGTTCTGTATTGAAATTATCATCAGAGAGAGGAAATTTAAGTAACCGATGAATGTAACTGTTGAAAGCAGCCATTTTATGCTGAGTAGGGTGGTTAGACGTTTCATGTATAACGTGATCTGTTTGGGTGGGTTTTCTATAAATGTTGTACTCTAAAGAATCTTTCTTACGGGAAATAGTCATATCCAAGAAGTTCAACTTATTGTCAGATTCTGGTTCCAGAGTAAAAGAGATGTTAGGATGGAGGTTATTAAGATCATCCAGAATCTGTAAAGCATCATCTTGGGTTCCCTGTATGAGAGCTATACAATCATCAACATATCTAGACCAAAAAACTATTTTGTTGTTGTTATTAACAAACTTCTGTTCGAAGCTATCTAAGAAAATATCAGCTAGAAAAGGTGATAATGGAGATCCCATTGCTAAACCTGTTGGTTGTTTATATATTTTTTGATTGAATTGAAAGAAGTCCTGATCCAGACAGAATTTAAGCATAGTTAATATAGCATGTTTATCCTTTGCAGATATGTTGCAATTGTCTAGAAGGTTGTGTACTAAAGGTAATGTTTCATCTCTTGGTACAGAAGTAAACAAATTGGAAACATCAAAAGAAACTAAATAAAAACCCTCTTCTATCCTAATGTTGTTTAAACGTTCTATTAGATCTAAAGAATTTTTAATAGAGAACTTAGGTTTAAAATTAGTGATAGACTGTATTGTGTTGTAAATAAACTCTGATAATATAGAAACTGGAGTGTTACAAAAACTTACTACAGGCCTTATGGGACAATTGTGTTTATGGATTTTAGGCAGTCCATATAACCTAGGTGTTATAGGATTAGATACAGTTAACTTTCTGTTGTTATATTTAGTAATAGTGTCATTAAACAATTTAACCATAGCTTTTGTTTTATTAATGAAGGTGTTAAGTGGATTTTTTTCCAAAACTACAAAACTATTATCTGAAAGAAAAGATTCTACTTTCTTAATGTATTGAATTTGTTCTAAGATTACAAACACAATTACCCTTATCAGCCTTGCTGAGTACAAGAGAATCTCTATCAATTTTATGTTTAATTGATGTTAGCAAATCCTTTTGTTTTTTAAAAATATGGTGATGTCTATGAAAATTGCGTTTGTACTTACATTGTTGTTGTTGAAGTAAGCTAATGCAAGAGTTTCTCAAATATTGTTTAATATCAGCATTTTTAGTCATACCTTCTATTAGAGTATCCAGCTCCACTGCAAATCCTCCAAGCACTGAGTTATTTAACCTAAAATTCTGACAAGAAAACTTAAGGCCTAATCCTAAAAAATACAATTCATCCTCTGAAAAGTTAGTGTTACTTAAGTTTAAGACTCTAGGATGGAATTGGTGATCTGAAAACTTATGCATAGGTGTTGAGGTGCTTCTCTGTTGTTTTTGCAATATCAAACGGTTTAGTTTGTTGGTAAGACTTCTCTTCTTGGTAGATTTTAAGCGGGCGACCTCATCTTCTATGTTGTTGAAGAAATCGTTGACAAGAAACCAAGGATTCTGTTGCAAAATTTGATCATAGGTAATTTTCAGATTGACATTGATATGATGGAGTTTGGTATAGTGCTTCTTAAGTTCTCTTTTCAGGATCTTTTTCTCCAAAATCTGTTTATCCTTATCAGGTACATTTTTTGATGTTTTGACCTTAGCAAAAGTAGGAGTGACTTGATGTAAAATGCACTGCCTAACGAACCAAATGTTTAAGAATATAATCATTCTTTTGCAGGATAGTCTTCTGTAAGTATCAACCAAGACTGCCATAGTCAATAAATCAATATAAGGTTGAATGTTCGAATCATTAAACTTTGAGGGTAT